TGGACACACCAGATCATTGACTAAACGAAAATTTGAAAATGCCATGCTTGACTTAGAAACTAGATCAAATAATGTTATTTTCTTTTAACTTTTAAAGAAAATATTTTAATTCCCGATGTAAATAGATTACCAAAATGGCTAAGACTTTTAAGAACCACAGCATATGTTTTCAGGTTTTTAGAAATATTGAAAACTAAGAAAAAAGATCAGCGGTGAACTTTTAATTGATGAACTCAGAAGTGCTGGAAAAATTTTATTCAAGAAAGTTCAGCAAGATGCATTTTCAAGTGAAATAGCAGCATTAAAAGAAAGGAAAGTTCTTAATTCCAAAAGAAGGTTGTATTCTTTATCTTTTCTGAATAAGACGGACTAACCAGACTTGGTGGAAGACTAGACAAATCTTCCGAACTTATACCAGTCATCCTAGACTCTAATCATATGATTACAAAACTTCTAATTCACAGATGAATGAGGCAAGCTATCAAAAGTATTTGGAATAGTTGCCAATGGTGCAAAAACCGAGGGCAACACCAACTAGTCCTCAAATGGGACAATTGCCAATTTGTCGCATTGGACCTACGATTCGTCCCTTCATTCGAACAGGAGTAGATTATTTCGGACTTATAGATGTACCTGTGAAAAGAAGTAAGAAAAAAAGATACGGTGTGATTTTTAAATGCATGGCTACACGTGCTGTTCACTTGAAAATCGCACATAACTTAGCTTCAAGTTCATTCATTAATGTTCTTCGTCAAATGGGTTGCAGGCATGGATTCTTAGATGAAGTTTTTTCTGATTGCTGTAGTAATTTCATTCGAGGGAACAAAGATCTATCTAAACACTTTGAAACTCTGCTTCAAGATAATGAAGTCCAAAGGTATTTATCCCTCAGACGCATAAAAATTATTTATAATCCACCACTAGCTCCAAACATGGGTGGAAGTTGAGAACGTCTTATTCAAAGTACCAAAAAAATCCTTAAAAAAATGTTAACAACAAAACATCCACCCGAACATATTCTTCGAACACTCTTTGCAGAGTGTGAAAACATAATCGACTTTCGACCACTGATTTATGTTTCTCTCGATTCCTGTGACTCAGAAAGCTTGACTCCTAATCATTTTTTGATTGCTGTGCTGCCCTGTACAAAATCATGTGATAGTGACTTAAATCTTATGTCTATCTGGAGGGCTGCTGGTCCCGATGGACTAGGGAGTATTTACCAACACTAATTAAAAGAACAAAATGGCATAAACAAAGAAAAAATATTCAGGTTGGAGACCATTATGGTTGACCCCAACGGCTATCGAAACAATTGGCAAAGAGCTACATTCGTTCGTCTTTACCCAGCAAAAGACAAGTTTACTAGAATTTTTGACATTAAAAATAGTACTGGAACAAACTTACGGAGACCAGGGGCTCGATTCTCGAGATCATTGGAAAATTTTCCCATGAGAAAATATTCCACTACTTATATTCCCATGGTAATAGGTTATGCAATTCTCGAACGTGTCGGAATAGACATTCCCATGGAAATAGTAGTTTCACGTATGTCTGATACATATTAAGTTCATGAATATTTCGAAACAACCAATAACATTAAAGATATTTTAAAATTTACTGTTGGCAATATTTGTATTTGTTGTGGTTTTTGGGTATCCGATTACCTGCCGAGCCTCCGCGCTGGAGCAGATGCCGTGCCGAGCAATAGCTATCATGATCGAGAATAAGTGAAAATATTCGATTACGTATAATAATTAAAACTTGTCGAGTTATTCTTAGTTTTTCTTTTCTCATGTTGAAAAAAGAAAAGGTAGCTTTTGTATGGAGGAGCAATGAAAGTTTTGAGAAACTAAGAAATTATTTCATTAACGAAAATAATTAAATTTTCGAAAAGGTCTTATTCAATTTACTACACTCAATTTGTGTTATTTGCCAGTCCCTTAGCAGCTCCCACAATTTCTAAATGATTTAGGAAAATCAGTTTATACAGTTTCTTAGTGAAAGAGAATTAAAAATAATATACCTACATAAATAAAATAATATCAATCTATAAATACGCCAAAAAAATGTTTTAACTACAATTTCACTAAAAATCCAAGATATCCAATAATCTTTGGTTATGTCTTAGACTTTCGCGTGGTCTTTCGTCAAATTTTCGACTTTAATGCGCAAACTCTAGTACAATTCCCATTGGAAAATACAATTTCCAATGCTCGTAAGCAGGGGAATATTTTCCCATACTTCTCATTGGAAAATATTCCACCGCTTATGTCGAGAATACGAAAACTGAATTCCCATGGGAAAATTTTATTTTCCCATGGGAATAAAAGTCGAGAATTGACCCCCCCTGTAATAAAATTGATAGTTCGAGTGGTCACTAGAAATCTACATGTTTTTAACGTTCTCGAGATGTACAGTGAAAATTAAAAATGCTATTTTTTTTAGTAATAAACTTCAAAATAATAATAGTGAAGGTACAAGACTTTCTATAACAGTATACCTGCCATTAAATCTTTGATATATTATTACGATATCATTTAGATATTACAATTTAGAATATTGCAATATTGATACATATTATATGAAGAAGCACCTAGGAAAAAATAAAACATTCTTTTTTCACGTACAAATAAATAAAGAAATATATGGTAGATAATTTAGCATAATAATATGGCATGGTGTTATGTCTTGTTCCCTGCCATTGTGTTTTTAACCACAATTTACTTATTTGAGGCCTTTCCAAGCAATCTTTAGTTATAATACTAAAGATATTAGCAGAGAGGGAGTTTTTGATAGATTGGAAATTATTTTAATTAACTCAGCAACAGCGATAATAGTGATTCAAGTGATTTGGATTAGGCGAAGGAATTACGAAGATTAATAGATGAAAAAAAAAAAAAATTTTAAATAAAACATTGCCTTATCTTAATATCAATAAATAGTTTGATATATTTCTAATATAATCTGTATTTTTATTTATTCCAAAATATATATAAACAAAATAATATTAGACTCAAAAGTTTCGCTATGTGAGTCTTACAATCAAATAATATTAACAATAATTTGAAAAAAACTAGTACCATAAACAAATAAAATATAAGATGTTTTTATAAAATATTGAATATATAAGAGTAGATATTATAGCAAAAAGTATAATTTTTCACAGTTTCGCATTGCTAAAGAATTCACTGAGCAAAACAGTTTTAAAATGCCTTTTAAAACTGATAGAATGGAGAATATTGATGTTTGAGTGATGACACTATTATTCATACATATTTAAATAGCTTTATAGATGAAAGGAAGCAGCGAAACCAGTCTACAGTTGAAGCATTTTTGACTATCTTAAATACTTGAGACACAAAACCTTTGCTGAAAGTGAGATTTACTAAACTAGGTACCTACTCAAATATTTTAACAACTTTATTCTTGTATTTAAATATTTTAAAAATTTCAATCTTGAATTCTTTAAGTACAGGTATTTCTTCTAATATTGTGACTTCTCCACATGCTTTTGTAGATTTTATTTTTCATGGGGTGTTGGGGTTTATAACTTAAATGTAGTTCTGGTAAATAATTTTCTTGGTGAAAATAAATTAGTTTGTACCAATTTTAGTTTATCTGCAATATTATACCTTACAATTTTATTCTCCATGACTATTTGCAACATGTTTACATTATTTTTGATATTATGCAAAAAAAAATTCAATATTTTCTATTAGTTATATACTTTTTAAACTATTTATTGTTTATAGTAATGTAAAAAGAAAACATAACCTTATTATTTCAAAACTTTCTAAATTCCTCGACTATTCTGATGATTAGACAAACACTGCAAGGCTGTGATTTCATAAATGATCTATGACGTGCATTGGTATTTGTATTAAAAATACTATAGGGCAGTGTTACTTGAGCTCCACGGAGCCTTGGGGCTCCGCAAAGCCTTGGGGCTTCCGCAAAGCCTTGGGGCTCCGCAAAGCCTTTGTGGGGGCTCCGCGAAGAAAATAATAGTCCATAATCAAAAAAGAAGAAGCAGTACTAGCGCCACAAAAGGGGGAGACCTGGCTTGAGGACTTTTTTTTAGAAGTCACTAAATGAAAGGAGGATATGATTTTTGCTTAAGAACTTTTTTCGTTTTTTTTTTTAAATGTGTTTAGGGCTCTGTCAAATATTTCACTTTTCATGAGAAACACTGCTATGCTATGAGTACAATCTCAATTGCTAGAAAATCCGGTATACGTTGTTTTTCAAACCATTGCTTAAATAAGCTGGAAGGCATATCTTAATGATAAATCTGCATTGTAATTAAAGTCATTATTTGCTGATAATAGCACATAATTTGCTACATATCCACTTACATTGCCAGCGTATAAAACAAATAATTATTCTCTTTTAGGAGACGGTGGTGTAGCGGTCTATCGCGCTTATATTCATTTATAGGCAAGTTTATGAGTCTCAGACTGCTGGGTTTCGAGTCCCAGACCGGACCATGTGGATTTTTAATTAAATTGCATGGTTCGGTTTAGGATTTGATGTGTGGCGTATTAATAGAAATTCAATTTCTGTTGATATGACATGCACATTAAAAAAAATTTGGCATACATTACCGTCTCGATGATGGTGGGTGAGGTTTTCCGGGTTTTCCTCACCTGTAAGTCAAATGGCACCATCAATCATTTTTAAGTCGCCCCGGAGCGCCACGGCAAATAATAATAATAATAATAATAGCCGTCCCTTCCCCTACACAAGTCGTTCAGTCGATTTCAGGGGTTGAAATTCACTCGTAAGGGGGTGAATTAGGGAGAGTATTATTATTATATTATTATTATATTATTATTATAATAAGGGAATATTTAACTGGCTCATCACTCCCTCACGAGATTAAAATTTTAGGTAAATACATATTCTAAATTTAACACAAAATAACTATAAATTTAAGATGCCATTTTTGTAATTCTTAATAAAATTGATAACGAAAACTTTCACTAAAAATCACTTACTCTTGAATTTCTCCATTCTTCTCCTCTTTGCGTAAATATGGTTACAGTTATAGGATATTTTTTATTCGAATAAACTCCTCTATCTACAAAATACTGGAAATCTTTGGTAAGCATATCCTTAGCGTATCCTGGATCTACAACTACGAGATATGGGTCCAGTCCCAAGTACACTCCTATAAACAATAAAAAATTTGTTTGCTAAAAGAATATTTTCTTAAAGAGGTCAAGGCCTAGTACATCGATAATGTCCACTTACCACCTATTTTGTTTGCAGATTTTTTAAAAGCGTCAAATATCTTGTACTGTATGTTCCAAGGGATAACCCTCGAGGGTAAAATATGACCAAAATTACCCAGTGGGAAAGTAGGACTTAACTGAATAATTCCTAGTCTTTTCCAGTATTGATACTTGTGTTTAATGTAGAAATAGGCAGCTACAAGAAGTGTTATTAGAGTGGTAATTAGTCCAATTGTAACACTGCTTGTACTTGACATTTTGCTGGAATAAAACAATTATTTCATGGTATATTTTTAGTTAATACTCGTAATTTCTGTAAAAATACGTAGAGAAAAGGTTTTGTAGTAAAACTATTACGGATATGATATTTACAAATTACAGTTCATATTTGGTCACCATTATTTTTAATCCTATTTTTTGTTGATTAAGAATTAATTAAGATCATATGCAGTGGCGGCTTGTCGTAATTTAAAATGGGGGTTCAATTTTTTCCAATAATTTTAGCATTTGTAAAAATTTGTACAAGAGCCAATATCCTTCCGTTTTAATGCAAAATTCCCAATTTTTTATAAGATTCCTGAGTTATGAAAAGGTTGCTTGATACCATCACTTAGATGATCCATTACTAGAAATGGTACAAGCGCAGAAAACTACCGTTTTTATTTCATCTGAAACTCGTGACATTTTCGAAGAACTTGTCAATCTAAAAAAAGCAAAAATTTGGTTAGTTTTTGAAGAGGACAAACCTAATAGCTGCCAGTGAATCCTGAAATATGCTTTTTATACTTCGCACAAATATTTTCTCTTTTAGTGAAGCAATTCTTGATGAAATTACATGGCTATACAAAAGCCACTAAATTCACCCTGGGCATTGCAAAGCCAAGATGAAAATAATGGGTTTTGTTCCAATTTCGCCCCATAGAACTGTTTAAAAACTTTATTTACACTACACCACACTATAAGTTAAAACAATCGTATTAAGTAAATTCAAATACGCACTGCAAACCCCAAACCAAATACAAAAATCGGTTATTTTAGATTAATTGGATATTTTCGATTTTTTAGAGATACATATTATATTCGATTTTGATTAATCGATTACAATATTATACTGTTTTCACACACCACAACTATTAACTAACTTTCTGTACTCTTGTGATAAATAAATAATCGATTCATAAAAGTAATCGAAAAAATCGATTAATTGAAAAGAATCGAAATTAATTGAAAAGAATCGAAAAAAATCGAAAAAAAATCGAAAAAAATCGAAAAAAAATCGAAAAAGAATCGAAAAGAATCGAAAAGAATCGAAAAGAATCGAAAAGAATCGAAAAGAATCGAAATGAATCGAAAAGAATCGAAAAGAATCGAAAAGAATCGAAAAGAATCGAAAAGAATCGAAAAGAATCGAAAAGAATCGAAAAGAATCGAAAAGAATCGAAAAGAATCGAAAAGAATCGAAAAGAATCGAAAAGAATCGAAAAGAATCGAAAAGAATCGAAAAGAATCGAAAAGAATCGAAAAGAATCGAAAAGAATCGAAAAGAATCGAAAAGAATCGAAAAGAATCGAAAAGAATCGAAAAGAATCGAAAAAGAATCGAAAAGAATCGAAAAGAATCGAAAAGAATCGAAAAGAATCGAAAAGAATCGAAAAGAATCGAAAAGAATCGAAAAGAATCGAAAAGAATCGAAAAGAATCGAAAAGAATCGAAAAGAATCGAAAAGAATCGAAAAGAATCGAAAAGAATCGAAAAGAATCGAAAAGAATCGAAAAGAATCGAAAAGAATCGAAAAGAATCGAAAAGAATCGAAAAGAATCGAAAAGAATCGAAAAGAATCGAAAAGAATCGAAAAGAATCGAAAAGAATCGAAAAGAATCGAAAAGAATCGAAAAGAATCGAAAAGAATCGAAAAGAATCGAAAAGAATCGAAAAGAATCGAAAAGAATCGAAAAGAATCGAAAAGAATCGAAAAGAATCGAAAAGAATCGAAAAGAATCGAAAAGAATCGAAAAGAATCGAAAAGAATCGAAAAGAATCGAAAAGAATCGAAAAGAATCGAAAAGAATCGAAAAGAATCGAAAAGAATCGAAAAGAATCGAAAAGAATCGAAAAGAATCGAAAAGAATCGAAAAGAATCGAAAAGAATCGAAAAGAATCGAAAAGAATCGAAAAGAATCGAAAAGAATCGAAAAGAATCGAAAAGAATCGAAAAGAATCGAAAAGAATCGAAAAGAATCGAAAAGAATCGAAAAGAATCGAAAAGAATCGAAAAGAATCGAAAAGAATCGAAAAGAATCGAAAAGAATCGAAAAGAATCGAAAAGAATCGAAAAGAATCGAAAAGAATCGAAAAGAATCGAAAAGAATCGAAAAGAATCGAAAAGAATCGAAAAGAATCGAAAAGAATCGAAAAGAATCGAAAAGAATCGAAAAGAATCGAAAAGAATCGAAAAGAATCGAAAAGAATCGAAAAGAATCGAAAAGAATCGAAAAGAATCGAAAAGAATCGAAAAGAATCGAAAAGAATCGAAAAGAATCGAAAAGAATCGAAAAGAATCGAAAAGAATCGAAAAGAATCGAAAAGAATCGAAAAGAATCGAAAAGAATCGAAAAGAATCGAAAAGAATCGAAAAGAATCGAAAAGAATCGAAAAGAATCGAAAAGAATCGAAAAGAATCGAAAAGAATCGAAAAGAATCGAAAAGAATCGAAAAGAATCGAAAAGAATCGAAAAGAATCGAAAAGAATCGAAAAGAATCGAAAAGAATCGAAAAGAATCGAAAAGAATCGAAAAAGAATCGAAAAGAATCGAAAAGAATCGAAAAGAATCGAAAAGAATCGAAAAGAATCGAAAAGAATCGAAAAGAATCGAAAAGAATCGAAAAGAATCGAAAAGAATCGAAAAGAATCGAAAAGAATCGAAAAGAATCGAAAAGAATCGAAAAGAATCGAAAAGAATCGAAAAGAATCGAAAAGAATCGAAAAGAATCGAAAAGAATCGAAAAGAATCGAAAAGAATCGAAAAGAATCGAAAAGAATCGAAAAGAATCGAAAAGAATCGAAAAGAATCGAAAAGAATCGAAAAGAATCGAAAAGAATCGAAAAGAATCGAAAAGAATCGAAAAGAATCGAAAAGAATCGAAAAGAATCGAAAAGAATCGAAAAAAGAATCGAAAAGAATCGAAAAGAATCGAAAAGAATCGAAAAGAATCGAAAAGAATCGAAAAGAATCGAAAAGAATCGAAAAGAATCGAAAAGAATCGAAAAGAATCGAAAAGAATCGAAAAGAATCGAAAAGAATCGAAAAGAATCGAAAAGAATCGAAAAGAATCGAAAAGAATCGAAAAGAATCGAAAAGAATCGAAAAGAATCGAAAAGAATCGAAAAGAATCGAAAAGAATCGAAAAGAATCGAAAAGAATCGAAAAGAATCGAAAAGAATCGAAAAGAATCGAAAAGAATCGAAAAGAATCGAAAAGAATCGAAAAGAATCGAAAAGAATCGAAAAGAATCGAAAAGAATCGAAAAGAATCGAAAAGAATCGAAAAGAATCGAAAAGAATCGAAAAAGAATCGAAAAGAATCGAAAAGAATCGAAAAGAATCGAAAAGAATCGAAAAGAATCGAAAAGAATCGAAAAGAATCGAAAAGAATCGAAAAGAATCGAAAAGAATCGAAAAGAATCGAAAAGAATCGAAAAGAATCGAAAAGAATCGAAAAGAATCGAAAAGAATCGAAAAGAATCGAAAGAAGAAGATCGAAAAGAATCGAAAAGAATCGAAAAGAATCGAAAAGAATCGAAAAGAATCGAAAAGAATCGAAAAGAATCGAAAAGAATCGAAAAGAATCGAAAAAGAATCGAAAAGAATCGAAAAGAATCGAAAAGAATCGAAAAGAATCGAAAAGAATCGAAAAGAATCGAAAAGAAATCGAAAAGAATCGAAAAGAATCGAAAAGAATCGAAAAGAATCGAAAAGAATCGAAAAGAATCGAAAAGAATCGAAAAGAATCGAAAAGAATCGAAAAGAATCGAAAAGAATCGAAAAGAATCGAAAAAGAATCGAAAAGAATCGAAAAGAATCGAAAAGAATCGAAAAGAATCGAAAAGAATCGAAAAGAATCGAAAAGAATCGAAAAGAATCGAAAAGAATCGAAAAGAATCGAAAAGAATCGAAAAGAATCGAAAAGAATCGAAAAGAATCGAAAAGAATCGAAAAGAATCGAAAAGAATCGAAAAGAATCGAAAAGAATCGAAAAGAATCGAAAAGAATCGAAAAGAATCGAAAAGAATCGAAAAGAATCGAAAAGAATCGAAAAGAATCGAAAAGAATCGAAAAGAATCGAAAAGAATCGAAAAGAATCGAAAAGAATCGAAAAGAATCGAAAAGAATCGAAAAGAATCGAAAAGAATCGAAAAGAATCGAAAAGAATCGAAAAGAATCGAAAAGAATCGAAAAGAATCGAAAAGAATCGAAAAGAATCGAAAAGAATCGAAAAGAATCGAAAAGAATCGAAAAGAATCGAAAAGAATCGAAAAGAAATCGAAAAGAATCGAAAAGAATCGAAAAGAATCGAAAAGAATCGAAAAGAATCGAAAAGAATCGAAAAGAATCGAAAAGAATCGAAAAGAATCGAAAAGAATCGAAAAGAATCGAAAAGAATCGAAAAGAATCGAAAAGAATCGAAAAGAATCGAAAAGAATCGAAAAGAATCGAAAAGAATCGAAAAGAATCGAAAAGAATCGAAAAGAATCGAAAAGAATCGAAAAGAATCGAAAAGAATCGAAAGAATCGAAAAGAATCGAATCGAAAAGAATCGAAAAGAATCGAAAAGAATCGAAAAGAATCGAAAAGAATCGAAAAGAATCGAAAAGAATCGAAAAGAATCGAAAAGAATCGAAAAGAATCGAAAAGAATCGAAAAGAATCGAAAAGAATCGAAAAGAATCGAAAAGAATCGAAAAGAATCGAAAAGAATCGAAAAGAATCGAAAAGAATCGAAAAGAATCGAATCGAAAAGAATCGAAAAGAATCGAATCGAAAAGAATCGAAAAGAATCGAAAAGAATCGAAAAGAATCGAAAAGAATCGAAAAGAATCGAAAAGAATCGAATCGAAAAGAATCGAAAAGAATCGAAAAGAATCGAAAAGAATCGAAAAGAATCGAAAAGAATCGAAAAGAATCGAAAAGAATCGAAAAGAATCGAAAAGAATCGAAAAGAATCGAAAAGAATCGAAAAGAATCGAAAAGAATCGAAAAGAATC